AGTGATTATTGGACCTTTAAAGAGTATTCTTAGGAAGTTTCAGCTGAATCCAAGTTTGAGCGATTTTCGTCGTAGTAGCACTTTAACTGGAAAAATGTATTTTTTTTTCTTTTTCGATTATTAGACTTGAATACCTATATTGTTGGTTTTCACAGCCGCCATGTTAGATGAATTTAACAAAAGATTCATCATTAGTCTCTTTTGTTATATCCTCCAACATGGCCGCCGTGTGTTTTGTAATTACATTCTCACTTGGGGATGGCTGAAAACCAGCAACAGTTAAAAAGTGAATATAACTTTTCTCGTGGGCTTTTATAGAACCAGATTCAGATCTGTACGGTATGCGCACAACATGAACCGCCACTAAGACGTTAACCTCTTTACTACTGTACACTTTTTTAAATCCTWAACCGAATTTCAAGTTTTTGACGTGTCAAAAATGGAAAACTGAACGTGCTTAGTAATCAGTTGTTGTAAATTCATCAAACCTTTTGTATTACACATTTCGAGGTTGATTTCAGGCGTTGTAACGCATTTTGCAAGGGCGTGTACAGGGTAGGGTTCCAGGGGTTCCGGAGAACCCCTCTTCATGGTAAACAAACTTTTTGAGACATGAACCTTTATTTGCTAAGTTAGTGATAGTCTAACAACAGCTTGTTCCACTTAATAGGAAACAAAAACTCCTGTATAAATTTGCCGTCGATCGGTGTTGGTCACCTAGTTTTGAATTCAAGAGCCAATCACCATAAGAAATCTGGAACCCCCCCTCTCAAGAGACGTCTGGACACGCCCCTTGTTTGGGACTGTTTTAGGGGACATTTTCAAAATAGTGTCTTTTTCGTCCCTTGAAACAGCCCCACAATGCACCGCAATGTCAACTCGACCCAGTTTTTCTCTTAACCTCGGAATGCCTAATTCCTTTCTATCTATCAATTTTTCATTGGTTGTAATTATGCTTTTATCGACAAAGTCAGTACTAAGTGGTTTCACACATAGCTGATCTCAAAAGTATAGAATCAATCATTTAACATCTAATTATTACTTAATTTCCTGGACACGCCCGGATCTTATATTGCTTAATCACTCGACCCGAATATCGAAAGCAGGTTAATGTATTCATTCATGTGATGCTTAATAATTGTGTTTAAAGTCAAAACAGGTGAAAATAGCGATGAGCTCATTTGAAATATGCTGTTAATAGACGTGCGTAATGTTTTCCCATTTCAGACCACGTGTCATTCTTTCGAGAATAAGATTCTTTTTTCAGTCGTATCCATATTCATGTGTCTTCTCATGTGCAACCGTTAAACAAAGAAATGATACTCTAGGGAATGACACATGGTCTTGAGAATAAGATTCTTTGTTTGAGTTGTATCCATATTCATGTGTCTTCTCATGGGCAACCCTTAAACAAAGAAAAGATACTCAAGGGAATGACACGTGGTCTTGAGAACAACATTCTTTGTTTGAGTTGTATCCATATTCATGTGTCTTCTCATGCACAACCATTAAACAAGGAAATGAAACTCAAGGGGATGACACGTGGTCTTGAGAATAACATTCATTGTTTGAGTTGTATCCATATTCATGTGTCTTCTCATGTGCAACCGTTAAACAAAGAAATGAAACTCAAGAGAATGACACATGGTCTTGAGAATAAGATTCTTTTTAGTCGTATCCATATTCTTGTATCTTT